CGGTTTCCTTATGAGGTTTTGTTCTCCCAAATTCCTAACTACTCCCTTCTTCGTGTGTTTGGGTTTGCCTGTTTTGTCCTTCTTCCTCGCAAAGATAGGACCAAACTTAGTTCCCGGTCTGTCCTTTCTATCTTTTTTGGTTACAATCTTACTCAGAAAGGCTACAAATGCTTTGACCCTGTCTTTCGTTGCCTTTATGTCTCTTGTCATGTTACCTTTCTCGAACGTCTATCTTATTTTCAGCTTCTCCCTCTCACTGCTCCAGTTTCTAAAGAGGATTTGGTTCACATTGACCCCTTTCCTTCTGAGGTCCTGTCTGATGAGTACATCTTCACTGTTCCTCTTGAGCCCATTCCTACTTCTCCGTCTGCGTCACCTATGGATCCTTCTCCTCCTTCGCCTTCTTCTTCTCCTTCGTTGTTTGTCTATTCTTGTCGCCAGACTCCTCCACCACCAGTTGTCTCTACTCTTGTTACTATTCCTTTTGCTTCTGACAGCTCTGATCCTGCTGCACACCGATATCCTACTCATAAGCGTCGTCCTCCAAATAGGTTAGGTTGGTTTAATACATGTTTTTCTACTTCTTACCGTACATTTTTGTCTGTTATTCATTCTCTTTCAGAACCACAGTCTTATACGGAGGCCTGTCGAGATCCTAATTGGGTTCAAGCTATGAATGATGAGTTGTTTACCTTACAGAAGACTAACACTTGGGAGTTGATTCTTTTGCCTGTTGGCAAAAATCTGGTTAGTTGCAAATGGGTCTACAAAGTCAAGACTCATTCTGATGGTTCTCTTGAGCACTACAAAGCTCGCTTGGTTGCCAAGGGTTTCTCACAGGAGTATGGTATTAATTATGAGGAGACATTTGCCCCTGTTGCCAAGATAACTATTGTCCGTACCTTAATTTTGGTTGCTGCTATTCGGCATTGGCTTCTCTATCAGATGGATGTTAAGAATGCTTTTCTTGCTGGTCATCTTACTGAGGAGGTCTACATGCATCCTCCCACTGGTCTTCTCCACTCCTTTGGGCAAGTTTGTCATCTTCGGTGTGCTCTATATGGTTTGAAGCAATCTCCTCGTACTTAGTATGCTTGCTTTCAGACTGCCGTTGTCGAGCTTGGGTTTCATCTTTCTGCTTCCTACTCTGTTTTGTTTCTGAGATATACCTCAGCTGGTTTTGTTGCTCTCTTACTCTATGCGGATGATATGATCATCACTGGCTCTGACTCTTCAGCTATCTCTAAGGTCAAGCAATATCTCTTCCGCACCTTCAAAATGAAGGATCTGGGTCCATTGCGGTATTTTCTTGGTATTGAGGTTGCCTCTTCTCCAAAGGGCTATTTTCTGTCTCAGGCCAAGTATGCTAATGAGGTTATTCACCGTGTCGATCTTACTGATACTAAGGTTTCTAATACACCTATTGAGCTGAATGAAGCTCAACTCCACTGATGGTGTTCCTCTGGATGATCCCATGTTATATCGAGAGCTCGTGGGTTGCTTAGTCTATCTGACGGTTACTCGTCCTGATCTTGCCTATGTTGTTCATATGGTTAGCCAGTTTGTCTCTGCTCCTCGTTCCACCCATTGGGCTACTTTCGTTCGGATTCTTTGCTATCTCCGAGGTACTATATTTTAGGGTTTACTGTTGTCTTCTACTTCCTCTTTGAACTTGGTGGCTTATGCTGATTCTGATTGAGCTGGTGATGTCACTGATTGCAAGTTCACTTATGTATGTTTCTTGGTGATTCTTTAATCTCTTGGAAGGCAAAGAAATAGACTATTGTTGTGCGTTCCACTTCTGAGACTGAGTACCATGCTATGGCTCATGCCACTGTTGAGATTGTTTGGCTTCGTTGCCTCTTGACTGAGTTAGGTATACCTCGGTCTTCTCCGACCTTTCTCTATTATGACAACCGTAGTGTTATTCAAATTGCCCACAATACTGTCTTCCATGAATGGATGAAAAACATTGAGGTTGATTGTCACTTTGTCCGACAACGTCTACAGTCTGGCTCTATCTCGCTTCTTTTCGTCTCCTCGACTTTGCAACTTGCGGCCTTTCTTCACCAAAACTCACACTACCGCTCAGTTTTAGTTTCTTCTTAGCAAACTGTCAGTGTTTTCTGCTAAAACAACTTGAGTTTGAGCGGGGGTGTGAGAATATATTGTATATATGGCATGTTGTGCATATATGGCATGATTGTGTAAATAGGACTTACTATTTCCTTTTTCAGTCATAGATTTAGGGCTATATAAATTGATAAACTCTTTGTAAATTGATGCAATTGAATACACAATATTCTTTAGAAACTTAGACTAATATGCATATATCTTAAGAACTCATCAAGATCACAAGACTCCATCAATAATGGATCGATCAATTCCATCCCTCTCCCTTCATTCCATAATTGCCATACCTATAGCATCACCAAGCCAAATACACTTATTCAAGCCAAAAAACTTCCAACAAGACTATCAATTTTGAGAAGTATAGTCTAACACAAGTTGAATAAGCTTACATATGCTATAAGGCTAGGGGCACACTTAGTAAGATGGAAACTAGCATTCCTCCTCCCAGTTATGATCTCAATCAAAGGGACACCAAAACTGAAAACATCAGATTTGACGGAATATAGTTCTTCCATAGCAAACTCTGGAGCCATGTAACCACTATCCGAAAAGAGAAAGAATTAGAAAGAAGTTTGAAATAGGAACCAAAACATGTTATAAGACAATAATAACTCATGTGATTGATGAAGCGAAAAAGTGATTGAAAGAACTTACCATGTTCCAACAATCTTGGAAGTGTTAGTAGCATCATCACTTCCTCTGAAGATCCTTGTCATTCTAAAGTCCGAGATCTTTGGATTCATTTCACTATCCAATAACACAATGCTTGGTTTCAAGTCCCTATGAATGATTCTAAGCCGAGAATCCTCATAAAGATATAGCATTCCTCTTGCAATTCCATTGATGATATTCAGACGCCAGCTCTAGTTATGAACACGCATCCTAGGATCTAACCAAAAATAAATTTATAGATTAGGGAAAAAAAAGCTTTAGAATAAGTTCAATGAAACCTATCCATATTCATATGTCAGATCTGTATAGAAAAATAAAATATTGAAGTTGAAAACTTCATAAAAGAAAAGAACACAAACCAACAAGGCAGACATCGAGGCTGCCATTGGGCATGTATTCATAGATGAGCAACTTTTCATCTCCATCTATGCAAAAGCCCATAAGCCTGACAAGATTTTTGTGTTGAAGTTTCAATATTAATAAAACTTCATTGGTGAATTCATCTCAAGGAAGCACAGGTGCGGGTACGAGTGCGGTACGGGTACGAGTGCGGGTACGCCGATTCGGCAAAACTCAAAAAAAGTACGATACGGGTACAGCTGCGGTACGTCGATATTTTTTTTATTTTTTTTAAATATAATTATGATTAAAGGATCCAACCTACAAATTAAAATTAAATATCAAAACTAAAAAAAGAACTACTCATTTTCCTATAATTGAAAACCATTAAAGCGTTAAAAATAATATATGTGAAATCTCTCACTTTGACATGTTATTCACTGTGATTTTGTGATCATAATTTATTTTTAAAATCTTTTTTTTGCTCATCAATTTGCTATTTTTATAGGGTGAGACCAAAGAAATAACAGGAGACCAAAGAAAGATTTAAAGTTAATTGCCAACAGTAAAGGAAAACAAATTCTCAATTGGGGCAGGTTGTCAATTGCAATTTGCATAATACATAAAATTGCATCATTCCCAACCGCTACTAATCAACTAATACAATATCAATTTTTAATGTTTTGTGCATAAACTTTAAAAGTTTGTTATGATTAAAGATTTTATAATGAAATTCTAGGAGGATCTGAAGCAAAAGCATAATGCATAGTCATACACAGAACTACCCTTTATAGGCCTTGTTATTTTTTTGGGTTCAAATTGCTTTTTAAAAACATCAAAATCATTTGTTGATATGCTTATACAATTTATACAGACAGACAGAAAAATAGAGTAACATCAAAATTACTGATCTGCAAGGGCAACAAAAAAAAATAAAAAATAATAATAATAATTGCTAATTTGTAAGGGCAGAAAAAAAAAGGGTCCTGGCGTACCCAAGGCGTACCCACGCCGTACCCATGGCGTACCCGTGGTGTACCCGAATGAACCAAATGTACCGGACCCTCTTTTGCCGTACCCGGTACGCGTGCCGCCGTACCGGTATGCGTACCCACAACCGGTAAGTACCCGATACTCGTACAACACTATTTTTGGAGTACCCATGCTTCATAGATTCATCTAAACCGTGCTCAGATACACTAAAGAGCCTCTTCACAGCAACTTCTTTACCATCAGGTAGTTGACCCAGAAAAAAAATATAAAAAATATAAAAAAATACTGAGAATTGGTTTATTGGTGTGGAGAGAGTTCTGAGTGTATTTTAAATACTAGGAGAGTTATTGAGAAACAGCTAATATTTTCTTTCATTTGACTAAGAGGTCAAGTGTTTAAATCTTTTCAATTGTAAGAATTTCTCTTCATTAAGTTATAGTCGTCGACTACTGAAAAAAAGAAAAGGAACCTGCTAGGTTCTTTGAATTCAATTTTTTTAGAAAAATTTGGACTTTCTGTTTAGTTATCCAAAAAATCAACCAAAACAAAAAAATCCAAAATCTTGGGTAGTGTTTGGTAGAGTTTTAGAATTATGATTTGAGAATAAAGTTGTATTTTGAATTTGTGAGTTTTGGAATTATGATTTGAGTGTGAAAAATTTGTTTGGTTATGAGTTTTGAAAATAGTTTTAAATTGAGTTTGAATTGACTAATGTAACATGTGATATTTGATACAAAAACTTACAACTCATAACCAAACACACAACCCAAAATTCTATTCAATGCTCATCAAAAATTTTAAAAAAAGATTGAGAAATTTACTCTGAAATTCAAGATAAGAACTAGAAAAGGTTTTCAAAATTGCTCTTTCCTCCCTCTCATAATACATAACTCACCATGAGAAAGACAACAAATAGACGGTGACAATGACAACTCCCATTGGGGCAATTTTTATTATGTTTATTAAAGTTTTCTCTAACAACTCATAATGATAATTACACTACAACACTTTGAAACCATTAATCCACTCAGCTGCATCGATCAACGGGGCATAACAACATCAATTGTTAATTCATTAACAAAATAATCTTTGTCATTTGTTTCATAGTGATCTCTAAATCTCCCGATAGAAAAGGCGGGTCGTTCAGGTTGACTAAGAGTTACAGCTTCACTTTTCAGCATAACCACAACTGATGACATAGTAGGCCTATCATATGCATCTTCTTGGACGCACAATAAACCAATATGCATATATCTTACGAACTCGTCAAGATCACAAGACTTCATCAATAATGGATCGATCATTTCCAACCCTTTCCCTTCATTCCATAATTGCCATACCTATAGCATCACCAAGCCAAATACGATTATTCAAGGAAAAAAAAAAAAACATTCAGCAAGACTATCAATTTTGAGTAGTCCAACTCAGGTCAAATAAACTTACAAATGCTATAAGGCTAGGGACGCAGTTAGTGAGATGAAAAGTAGCATTCCTCCTCCCAGTTATGATCTCAATCAAAAGGACACCAAAGCTAAAAACATCAGACTTAACAAAATACAGTCCTTCCATAGCAAGCTCTGGAGCCATGTAACCACTATCTGAAAAGAGAAAGGATTAGATAGAAGTTTGAAATACGAACAAAAAAATGTTATAAGACAATAAACCCAAATGATTGATGAGGTGAAAAAGTGATTGAAAAAGAAACACTAAACTCACTATGTCCCAACAATCCTAGCAGTGTTAGTTGCATCATCACTTCCTCCGAAGATCCTTTCCATTCCAAAGTCTAATATGTTTGGATTCATTTCACTGTCCAGTAACACATTGCTTGGTTTCAAGTCCCTATGAATGATTCTAAGCCAAGAATCCTCATGAAGATATAGCATTCCTCTTGTAATTCCATTGATGATATTTAGACTCCTGATCCAGTTCATTTGCGCACGCTTCCTAGGATCTAACCAAAAATAAATTTATAGATTAGGAAAAAAAAAGCTTTAGAATAAGTTCATTGAAACCTATACATATTCATATGTCAAATTTGTATAGAAAAATAAAATATTGAAGTTGAAAACTTCACAAAAGAAAAGAATACAAACCAAGAAGGAAGACATCGAGGTTGCCATTGGGCATGTATTCATAGATGAGAAACTTTTCATCTCCATCTATGCAAAAGCCCAGAAGCCTGACAAGATTCTTGTGTTGAAGTTTCAATATTAATAAAACTTGATTGGTGAATTCATCTAAACCTTGCTCAGATACACTTGAGAGCCTCTTCATAGCAACTTCTTTACCATCAGGTAGTTGACCCTGAAAAAAATGTATCAAGCCATTAAAACTAGAAGGAAAAGAAGGAAAAGAAAAAAAAAAGGATTTCATGTTTGCAGAAAAGAAAAAAGAAAAAAAATGTTATCACCTTATAAACAGGACCAAAACCACCTTGTCCGAGCTTATTTGAATCAGAGAAGTTATCTGTGGCTGCACTTAGCATTGACAAATCAAAAAATGGAAAATTCTGAGAGTTTAAGTTGTCCCTTGCTTGCAAATTTTGATGCTGAACATCTATGTTATTGGGGTCCCCATTATCGTATAATTGATTTTCTCAGCTAGATACTTGTATTTCCCCTGAAATTTGGGGAAAATAAAAAATTAGATGTTTGGTTTCAGTTTTATAAAAGAAAACATATAATTGAGAGTTGAGGGAAAAAATAATTTAATTTGTACTAGCTGGAGTCATTACTTGTCTTAGTTTGATTCCTTATGGCAATACAGTAGCAGACACAAAAACCCAAAAGTACTACCATTAGAATTGCTGATACAATTGTAGCAATCATCCAATTGTTCCTCCTGCTTGCTTTTGGAATTCAAGAAAAAAGAAATACTAAATTCTGTCAAGAAATACTATTTGTAGAACAAATTCCAATATTGGTAAACAAATTAATACTTACTTTCAAATATCCTCAGGTTTTCAGAAGTTGCGCCTTCATAAAAAGCATAGAACTCATACCTTAAGTAGCAACTGGGACTAAGAAGTCTAGTGCCACGAGGCTCAGAACAACAACTTAAAGTGTTTGCTATTGCTATTTCAAGGCATGTATTGCAGTCATTTGGAGACAAGTCTGTTGTGCACTGCACAAGAGCGTATATTGTTTCAGTATCTGTAAAGTTCACCGCTCCAGTGGCATACATACCATATGAAGTTTGATTCCTTATGGCAATACAGTAGCAGACACAAAAACCCAAAAGTACTACCATTAGAATTGCTGATACAATTGTAGCAATCATCCAATTGTTCCTCCTGCTTGCTTTTGGAATTCAAGAAAAAAGAAATACTAAATTCTGTCAAGAAATACTATTTGTAGAACAAATTCCAATATTGGTAAACAAATTAATACTTACTTTCAAATATCCTCAGGTTTTCAGAAGTCGCGCCTTCATAAAAAGCATAGAACTCATACCTTAAGTAGCAACTGGGACTAAGAAGTCTAGTGCCACGAGACTCAGAACAACAACTTAAAGTGTTTGCTATTGCTATTTCAAGGCATGTATTGCAGTCATCTGGAGACAAGTCTGTTGTGCACTGCACAAGAGCGTATATTGTTTCAGTATCTGTAAAGTTCACCGCTCCAGTGGCATACATACCATATGAAGGATTGAATGCTGTGAGCCTGCTAAGATTATGCAATGTGTCATTCACGACAGAACTAAACTGGCCAAATTCATCACCAGAAACATTTTGTTTGTTGTCTTTCCAAATGTTTCCTGTTACATCCAAATGCCCAAAGAATGATTCATTAGCGTAGCGCAACTGGCAATTTTCCTCCCACACAACCGCTTCGTTTCTTTTTCTGCAAAGTGTTTGGATGTCTTGTGATGCACTTTCAATACAGTTCTTGCAGTAATCTTTCGATACAAAGTTGTAGCAGAGAAAGAGATCGAAAACTGTGTCTTGGTCATTTCCCATGGTGGTGTTGTAGAAATTGGAGACAGAAGAATTTAAAGACAAAGAATAAAGAAGGTTTTTGAGATTAGATTGAAATAGATTATTATTTGTAGAAATAGTTGTGTTTGAACAAAATTGATAGGGAGGGGCATCGGCGCGAACAAGATCATGAAGTGGAAAAAAGAAATGATAAAGCAAAAGCAATTTGATTGTTTTTGGAAACGGAAACATGACTCTCTCCTCTTCTTGGGTGCACTGTGATATGAACTATGAAGTCAATCAATTGACTACAATTTATGCTGTCATGGAGTTTTAAATAAAATACAATTTGAGTTAAAAGGACCTTTCTTGGTAACGGATGATAAAATAATTTTCATGACGTTGGTATTGTGGTCAAGCTGCTTGTATTCAATGTTGATTAGTCAATTCTTCTAAAAGGGAAGATAGTAGGAAACTGACTTTGTACCATTTTGTAATGGTAATGAAATATTAGAGAGAAAACCAACAAAGTCATTACCAAAACGCTTTCAATTATTAGGGAATATTACCATACGTACTCTCCTTAAAAAGGTACATATTGACCCCTTAATTCTGAAAATTGTACAAAGGCTCCTCTTCTGAAGGAGGTTTAGAGGGGAGAAAGTGATATACTTTTGTAGTTGATAGGAGAAAGTGATATATTTTTGTAGTTGATAGGTTCAATATGTATGAATTTGAAAAATCTAGAAATCCCCTAGATGTTGATTTGTGATTATGTATCAATTTTAAGCAGTATATAACAATCCCAATCAAACAATCAAGAAAAATCGACACAACGATTTTACGTGGAAAAACCACAATTGGACACCTCCAATTGTGATAAAAAAAAAAACCACGGGCAACAGCCACAAAACAATCCACTAAGAAGATATAAAGGAATTACGCAGGTATACTCTCAATTACCTAGCGAATCCATGCCCGAATTGAACCAACCTCTATGTGCCTCTTCCAACCCTGTCTTCACCTCGGAATTGTCTTGACAATGAGCCACTCCGGAATCCACCAAAGCTTCAGGCTCGAATTCTTCAGAATCCACCGAAGAACAACTCTCTCTTTTGTATAGAACAAACAAGTAATCCTTTGATGTATACTCTTTAAACCATGAGTTGAATACTCAATCAAAACATCAATGAAAGCTAGCAAAATATCCCAAGATATAAACCATAGAACCCAAGAAGAAGATCTGGAGAAGTAATCCTAAAATCTGACAGAAACACGTACTTATAGAAATTTGAATCGCGATGCTCGCTCGAGCGAGGAACCAAAAACGCGTGTTTTCCATAAGTGGTTTCACTCGAGCCACGCAAGCTTCGCTCGAGCGCACATTCATCTCTTTCAAGTTTTTAGCCAGATGCACTCCTTCGCTCGAGCGAGCAAGGGCGGACATGCAACTTCGAATGCAATTTTGCATTTTGCTTCGGGGGCGCTGCCCCTCAACCTCGCCGTGGCGCTGCCCCGGACCTGCCAAAGGGGCGCTGCCCCTTAGACCCCTGCGAGCTGACCGGACAGCTCGATCCCCGTCATAATCAGTGAAGTGGCAATCTTGAAAGTATTAACATCACAAACTTCTCTGCCAGGCACAATTCAGGTTGGATTCGCATCTAAAAACTCATAGCCTCACTGAAATAAAAAGTGCGAAAACAAATACAACTTAAAGGAGTTTTGTCAAACGGGGCTGCCAAAAATAAAAACCTAACAGAATTCATAGATGAAGGAAATAATAGTGATATTCACTTAACAGTTGAGGGGTCTTAGGGTAATTAAATTTTTTTTTCTAGGAGGTCAAAATTTCTTTGTTAGTTGATATGCATTTTCCTAGAAGGTGCTCCAGGAAAAGTTGTTGTATGTTGTTTGGCCAGGTTTGATTGTTTGGATTGGATATAAGGGGATGGGGAGAATTTTTACTCTGAGCAATATAGGATGCCATATAATTTGTTGAGGATATAAGATGAATTATATATAATATTAGTTGAGTTTTACATGTTTGGTTAGATTATGATATAACGGGGAGAAATCTATATTTTGCACCCTAAAAGGGGCAAATCGTAAGAAAGTTCTGATTTTTTAGGATAAAAGTTATGTATATTTACGGTGTGTTATGACAATTTGTGATAAAAGTTACAAATAAGAAATTTATTGCATGTGGCCAAAGCAAAAAGTATACACTTTGTGGTTAGTAAAAGATTATTATTAATTTTATTTTTGTATATTTATTTATTTATTTATTGTTTGTGATGAGAAAAGTTGTGCTATATCATGGAGTAGTGATATGCAATATCATTTGGGGCTAACCATTAATCCCATTTCAATAATTCAAACTGTTCAATTTTTAGCCCATAATGTTTAGATCATCTATGGAAAAAGTTAAATTGATCCGATAATTGTAGTCATGTTAATTAATGGCATTTATTTGAAAAAAAAAATGAATGACAAATATTATTTGAAAACTAAATTATTCATTTTTTGAAAGACAAATGTAATAAATTAACCTAGTTATATTTATCGGATCAATGTGATTTTTTAATTTACATATTGTGGTTTAAAAAATAAACAACTCATATTATCGATTTAGGACTTGTGGTGGGTTTTACAAACCCAAACAACATCGTCCAATCCACTTTGTGAACTAAAAAGAATATGCTCCCTTACATATCCTCAATAAGTATAAAAGTATACAAAGAATCAAACACTGAATAAGACACAAATTTCTCACAATGGGTGAGACCCACATTTTGTATTTGATTTGTGTATTCCTAGCATTGTTGCACATATTTTACACTTTTGGGTGATATATATGGGTAATGCTATACGCAAGTTATGTCATTTGTGAGTTTGATTATCACAAATCTCACAACTCAATATTATGGGAGTCATAACTAAAGAAAAAAAAAAAAGAGTTATAACCAAATATCACGTAAGGTATAATCAAACAACTCTTGGATCATAACTAAGATAACATTATAGCCAACATCATAATAGATCATTATTAATATAACAATATATTATAACCAAACATCCATAATAATAAATTATAACCAAAGATCACAAAAATAGTAACTATAGATGGGGGGTACGCACCATCTAATTTCCCCCGAAACCTTGCTTATATAAACATGGGCCTACTTGATACACAATCTGGTCAACCCATTTATCCCCTTATAACCTCAATCATGACCTATTTGAAAAACAATAGAAATTATTATTCAGTAGTAACTTTCAAAAATTATAACATATTAATAAAAGAAATTATAATTATAATTATTAATATTTATAATGTTGATCACTTTTTTATAATTAAATTTTTTTGATAACTATTATATTGCTATTTGTCCCCAAAAATAATAAATAACTAAATAATTGTCACATCTCAAGCCTTGTGACAACACCATACACTCATCTAACTGAGCGTGCAAGGCTAATAGTCTAATCAAATAAATCACCAAAATAAAATATTCAAAATAAATCTTTAATTATCATAATGCCAAAATCCATAAGTCATAAACAATCCTTATCATATGAAATTGTCCACCAACTCTACCAATGTAGAAAGGTGTTGATTGAATTTCTTCATAAACAAATTCTTCTCTCTAGTTGAGAGCTTCTCTCCCTAAACTTTTCTCCTCTTAGGCTTCAAGCGTGCAGCGGCCGTCGGGGTGGGAGATGGGCTTTCGGCGGTCTCCAACCTCCCCTGCCCTCCTCCTACCCCACTTTTTTCTTCCCTTTCCTTGGTTTTTTCCAATAACTTGGAAGCTTTGGCTTTCCATTCTCTACCTTCTTTGTGAGGTGTTCGTTTTCCTTTACCTCAACTTCGGTCGTGGCTTTCATTGAATCCACCCTCTCTCCTCCGTCCCGCCTCCTTCCATCGTAGTCCATCATCGCCAGTTTTGCAGCCCTTCATCGTCATTTCTACCGCCTTCTCTAGGCATGCCGGATGCCGCCTCCCTTCCCCTACTCTGCCACCTCCATCCCCGCTGGATTCACTATCGCCGTTGCTGATGCTTTGGTTTGTTGGTGATTCTACTTTTTGTTTTTTCCTAGTTTTTCTTTGGGTTTGCCTTGCTGTTGGTAACTATTTTATGGTTTGTTTTATTCTTATAGTTTTCTATGGTTTTGTGGGTTTGTTCTTGCTGTTTTGTGTGTGTGTCTGTGTGAGTCCATCGGTGGTTATGTTTAACTTACCCTCTCTATGGTTGGTGTCTATAATTTATCCCAGGCATGCTCTATTGTTGACTTTTATGATCAGTTCTGCTGTGCAATATGAGCACAAGCATAAGATGTGCATCTGAATATTTTTATAGGTTCTTTCCTTTGTATTTCTTACTATATCTTTCCTTTGTTTGGTATAGGTTTTGGGTTGGATGGACTCTCGTAAGTGCAATTTGGCTTTCCTTAATGGATTCTTCTTCCGAAAAAAAAAACCCTGTGCTAATGTAATCCACTAACAAAATAGTACTCCAAAGTAATTTAAAATCATATTCCTACTCTCGACACTCCCATAAGTAAAAATCTGCGCAGCTCTACTCCTCAGAATATGAAAAAATAAAAAATAAAAGGAGTAAGCTAGACAACTCAGTAAATAATCAACCATCACTGCTAGCTAGATCAAGTATACAAAGAAAATAGTCGATAACCAATAAATGTATTTTTGCTACAATTCAATATAATGAACTGAAAAATTTAAAATCCCCAAGATATTGATTCCTGACTATGTTTTAATTTAAAGCATTAAATAACAATTCCAATCAAAAAATAAAGACAAATCGATACAACGATTTAACATGAAAAAAAAAACCCACAATTGAAGCGCCTCCAATTGTGGTAAAAAATCATGGGCCAAAGTCACAAAACAATCCACTAAAAAGATAAAAAAGGAGTTACACATGAGTACTCTCAATTACCTAGCAAATTCATGCCCGAATTGAACAGACTGCAATGTGCCTCTCCCACCATCATCTTCACCACAAAATTGTCTTGCTCAACATTGAATCCACGACGATGAGCCACTCTGGAAACCACCAAAGCTTCAGAACCAAATTTCTTGAAATCCACCAAAGAAAACCACTCTTTTTTGCGAGTAAAGAAAATAAACAAACCCCTTGATAATGTTAATATGAAGTTCATATATCCATTGATCACTCTCAAATCATCAAGGAAACACTCAGAAAAATACCTTTCAATATAGAAAACCTTGGTAGCTTTGCTCTCCTATAATTTGGAAGGCCTAAACCCTAAAAACAGCGAACGACGCACTTCATAGAAAATAGGATCACGAAGATCGCTCGAGTGACCACTTCATCGCTTGAGCAAACTCACTGAAACATGTACTCATCGCTCGAGTGAATAAAGGATTCTCTCAGAAGTTCAATCTGCTCTACAAAAATACTAGATGATGCCATTCAACGCTCGAGTGCACAAGTGACCGCTCAAGCGGTCAAACAACTTTGGACAGCTCAAAAGTTCGGGTAGCTCAATCTCCCCATACATAGTCAGCGAAGTGGCAAACATGAAAGTCTCAAGATCACAAACTTCTCTAAATAGACACAATTTGGGTTGGATTTACATCTAAACACTCACATCCTCACTGAAACAAAAGAGTGAATAAAATTACAACTGAAAGGAGTTTTGTTAAATGGGATTGCCAATTACAAAAACTTAACATGAAGAATTATTTTGTAAGATAGTTGCATAGCTAAAAATAAACAGTGTAGCAATACATTTTAACTGAGAAGACAATAAGATAATTTAAAGTAATTTCATTGTTCAAATCGATGGTTCAACATTTAGATGGATCAATGATTCAATTCACAAAACTCAAGTCTTGGTGACAACAGTCACTTAGCTCGTGACAAAGCCCAGAATCACATATAGGCCGATGGTGAAGCCCCAAAAGAAACTAGTTTATGTGTCCATAAATAACCCCCATTGGCTAGGGTCCAAATCAGTGGCGGAGCTAGGAATTCAGTGAAGAGGGGGCACAAATTAATGACAACATTGATTTTATTTTTTTTCTCATAATAAACAACAATGAGATATTACTAAACTTAAATATTAAGAGTCCATTTAGATAAATGTAAATTTTAAATTAAAGTATTTGAGGTTAAATTATACAAATATTGGGGAGTAACTAATTTAGGTGGATTGGAAAATTAAAAAAGAAGATAAGTTGAGATAGAAATGATATATTTTAGTGGAGAAATTCTATAAAACACACCGCTAAAAAAGTGCCTATCATATGCCATAGCTATGATCTTCGTGGTCTTTAGTTAACACATTGTAGTGCTGGATATAACTTAGTTATAACTTCTTGTGGTTGATGTTTTGGTTATGACTAAAGAGGTCTTTGGTTATATATTAAGTAATGGTTAGTTATGACTCATTCTGATGTTAATTATGACCTATTGTGATTTTTTTTTCTTTTTTCGTTATAATTGAAGTTGTGTTGCTTGGTTATAATTCACATAGTGGACATTTTAGTTATGAATGAAAATAACTTGGTTATGAAAATTTATAATATCAATACTATAAAGTCATAACTTGGTACACCCCTTTTAGAGGTGTATAATAGAATGATCCATTTTAGTAGGTTCCTTGTAATTAGAAGGAAATAGAGGGACTATTACAATTTTAAGAAGGGATATTATTGTAAATTATATAGAGGATATATATAATATAATCTATATATATATAGGGGTACTAATATAATTATCAAAACTTTAGGGGGGCACGTGCCCCCTTAGTACTACACTGTCCCTGGTCCAAATCATAGTCAAGCTAGACTGATGTTCAGAATTCAAACTCCCTATAAATAAAGTGTTCAACATTTTCAAAATAAATATTTGGTACAAACTTTCATAGCAGTTTCACAAAATTTTAAAATAATTTTCAGAAGAATAGTCGATGCTATTTTATACATGACCCATATTTTTATTTTAAGAGAACAAAAAAGCTATAAATAAATATTTATAATTTCAAATGATTTGATAGAAATAAAATGAACCAACAATGATAGAAGGTTACTTACCTCAATAGCTAAAATAATATCCCACAACTAACTCCAAATACCCAACTCTAACATTTCAATCACATGAACCTAATAAATATAATCTCAAATAAATTAATATTTTTATATTTTTCACACATCCACAAGAACCCACTATATATATGGAGTGCTTTAATATCCAAGAAATACCAAATCAATCCACCCAATTTAATAGTCAAACACACCTTACCCAATATACAAAACTCTATTGTTAAACTACACCCACACACTCTGCTCAAAAAAAAAAAAAAAAAAAAAAAGGCACATACAGATTTTCTAAAATCCCTAAAAGCATTGAGTGTTTTATTTCTCAATAAAAATTTAATAACTAGTAATACAAGAAGGGTCTTACCTCAATCAATGGGTGTATCAGGATATCTCCAATATGCTGAGCCCTCAATTCCTACCACAGCCTCAGACTTGAATCCTCTGTGAAATCGTGATGATAAAATAATACGAAACCCTTTTTTTTTTTTTTTAATGCACTCTCACTGCCGCAAGATATAATAGCAAAAATTCACTTTAGTAATCTATTTCTCCAAAATTTAAATGTTACCCATCTATGGTACAAAATTACAGTATCACCCATAGCTAATTTCTTATTATTTTAATTATTATATAACCAAAACTCGGTTTTCACATGAATAAACTCGAGCATGATCTTGATGAAGTCGTGGTGGATTATATAATACCATTAGAAGTATAAATTTAAAGGATTTATATTTCATTATTTGATTATAACTTTTTGATGAGACTTAACGTTTGGTTTGATTTGGTTTGGTTTGGTTTGGTTTGGTTTGGTTTGGTTTGGTTTATTTGATTATAACTTTTCTTATTCATATTGGATTTCAATTGACATTTTATCCAATAAAATTTGTAAATTTTTTAATCCTACAACTAATGGGGAGGTGTAGACGCGCCCGCGTGGGGCCTCTCTACAGTTCGGACTCAATTTGATGTCACGGTTCTAAATCTGAACCAAAGACTCCAAATCTGACAAATCGTTTTGAGAAAACAGATTTTTAGAAAAAGAAGTGCCGAACATGGACTGCTTTGCCAGATACAGAGTCGCCACCTAAATATTTTTTATGGAGAATTTAGGAAACCCTGACTCGGTGCCGAAGGCCACATGTCCGTCATCACCAGAGTTGCCTCGGCTCGGGAGCTAGGGTACGATTGGGGAAGGTCAGCTATGAGCACCCCCTCTCGCCCGATCCGAAGATCGGCCTCTACTAACCGTGATATCCGTTTTTGAAAACATTATGTGTTCTTATTCCAATTATTAGCCTAGAATTACTACGTTATGCGCACAACAAACAAGTATAGACCAAATCGCCTAA